TATATATTTATATATTCATATGCTATCCTATTCAGGTTATTTTTGCTGCTGTGACATAGCCACATCCTTATAAAACCGCAAATAACCTTCTCAAATTGAGCAATTTTTGGAAACCCTTTATTGGGTATATTAAAATTCAGGTATCTACGGCCTGCTATATGCTATATACACACTATATGTGTTTGAAATCCACGCATCGTGTATACCTGGTCCCTCACCCCCATATGCACTTTTGGAAAAGCATCAAGGACCTGATCTTAGTTCAATGTCGACAGGAGTCTTCTTGATCCTTATTGATGAATCATTTGGTACTGTGGACCCTGTTCCATTTGGGGCGTGACTATCCAGGAAGTCCCTACATTTGAGAGGCGGGTATGATAGTCTCACCTATGAGAAGGTTAACAGCAGCATCCATTGACTATTGTGGAGGGAGGCCTGGTAAATTTTGGATTGTGATTTGGTTTCCATATTGCTAAGAGATACATACCATGTATTTTTTTTGTGTTCCAGCTTGTACATTCCAGGAGGTCCCTGATTTATACTGGGAAAACACACTCTACTGAATATACGGTTCACACAAAATATTAAGCAGGAAAACCTACGGAAATCCAGGATAACTATTCTATCATTACACCACTCTGCCTTATATGGTGCTCTGTTGGCTAAGATGACCCTTAATTGAAGACGCTAAGTGTTTTTAAACATGATTTTATTTTTTTCATATGTACACCAGTGCTTATGTTTAACCTCCCCATGATTATGTGATCAAATAAAGTATTGTTAAATTCATTTGAATTCATATTACTCCGCGTGGATCTTGTAGAAACCTTCTTTCTCAGATAGGCGTGTTCTTGTCACACTATCATATTGTTTAGTATGCTGTCCCCTGGGTTTATGTATCCACACTTGTACAAGTGAGTCGGAGAGGTGCTTATGACATTAACAAATTAGTGTCATTTTTGGTGGCTTGCTTTTGCTTTATTGTTGTGATATCTCCCCAAACCCTGGTCCTTCACTATCTCACCCCCACACCAGGCACCCTCTTTCCTCCTTGAATAGCCGCAATCCACTTAATCTAATCTCAATCCCCATGCTCCTAAAAACCACCCCCTCGCCCTTTTTCATGTGTGCTCTGGAATGCCCGCTCTGTCTGTAATAAGCTCACCTCTGTCCGTGACTTTTTTTTTCTCTCGCTCCCTTAACCCCCTAGCAGTTACAGAAAACCTGGCTTCAAGCAGCAGATTCTGCTTCCCCCGCAGCACTTTCCTATGGAGGCCTTCTTTGGACTCACTTACCCAGTGATACGATGGGCAATGAAGATGAGTCAGATTATTGTTATCTATGCAATACATGACTTGCTCTATCACTTCTCTCCTTTAACATTCATAAAAACTCATATTATTCTGTTCTGAATTCTACTTGGTGTTGATGACCTCTGTCTCATATCTTGTAGTTGGTGGGCCAGCTGTGGTTTTCTACTTCTGAGAAGTGGTTGGACCATGGCTGAACATATCTATACCTTTTCCCAGAAATATTAATCATGATCATTTCTCATAAATTACCACTCTGTCCAAAAGTCCCTTGGTCTCCTGTTGACGCAATTAGTTTAATTTGTTTGGAGTCAACTTGACATGTAACCTTTATCATATCCAAACTATTACTTACTAGCATATGAACCTTACATAAGACTTGGTATTATGCCCACCATAGAACATTATTGCGTAAGAACTGTATAAAAAGTCTTGTTGCTGTAATCATTTTTATCGTCATTGTGTGGCTGTATGCAATGTCGATCCGATGTGCACATTGTAATTCTTCATCAGTAAACCTATATCAGATGAAATGCAACTTGATTGGCGTGGATGTCCTTTATTGAAAAGGTCTACTTAACACCAGATACCCAGTGGTCAGAAAGGTGGTGGAGTTGGCTTGCTTCTATCCCCACTGAGCACCTTTCAAGTCCTCCATAACCCTCCCTCTCTATCCTTCTCTTCTTTTGAGACTCACTGCATTCACCTGTTTTCTCCCATTTCTCTGAGGATTGCAGTGATCTATCAACCTCCTGGACCGGTGTCCCGCTTTCTTGATGACTTCTCTGCCTGACTACCCTACTTTCTCTCCTCTGAAATACCCACTATCATTCTTGGAGATTTAACATCCCCATTAATGTCAACAACCCGGCTACATCCTGTCAGGGCTCCCAGGTATGACCAGAGATGTGTGACTGATGCAGGGAAACGCAGACTTCAGAAATGTGATAAAACAATATTTAATTTATTAACACTAACCATACAAACATAAACGCAGGGCAATACTAAACATAATACAGTGCAAACAAAACCAAACCAACCACCCACAGATAACAGTATCATACAAGCAAGCGTAACGTCAGGCAGGCCGGGGGGTCAATATCAATAGGGCAGGTAGGTACGGCCAGGGGAGCTCAAGCAGAGAATGGTCGGGGTCACAGGCCAGGTTCAGCAGGTAGCACAGCAGCGAGGTACAGAGGGTCAGACAGAGGGGTGGTCAGGGTCTGGACAAGCCAGATCAGAGCAGGAGAAGTCAGCAGCCAGTTTCAGATCAGGGTCAGCAAAGGAAACAGAAACAGGATGCAGGACAGATACAGGGCCCCAGGACAAACACAACACCAAAGCAGAGTCTGCAAGTTCTGGCCATCCCTTAAATACCCCAGTATCATCAGTTCCAGGTGTTTAGCTGGCTGAAAGGTTGAGTCTCTGATTGCTGGGGTAGCACCGCTGGCCAGCCTGGTACTGCAGATCAAAAGGCAGGTGAGTCCTCGACCATTGCTGGCCAGTCCATTCCTAACAGTACCCCCTCTCAAGGAGCGGTTATCTCAGGACGCTCCCCAAACAGTCCTAGCTGGGCAAAATGTTTCCACCCCGCCCGGGTCTGGCAACTGGGGGGGATAGCAAAGACTGGCACACCGGGCTCCAAACAGGACTTGTCCGGGCAGCGGCACACCGGGCTGGACTGCCGGGCAGCGGCACACCGGGCTGGACTCCCGGGCAGCGGCACACCGGGCTGGACTCCGGGCAGCGGCACATCGAGCAGAGGCATCCGGGCAGAGGCACACCGGGCAGAGGCACATCGGGCAGAGGCACATCGGGCAGAGGCACATCGGGCAGGGCCACTCCGGGCAGAGGCACATCGGGCAGAGGCACATCGGGCAGAGGCACATCGGGGCAGGACTCCGGGCAGAGGCACATCGGGCAGGACTCCGGGCAGAGGCACATCGGATTACCAGGCGAAGCAGCAGGCACCGGGCCCCAGGCGGGGGCGACAGGCACCGGGGGCCCCGGGCGGGGGCGACAGGGCACCGGCCCCCGGGCGGGGCGACAGGCACCGGGCCCCCGGGCGGCGGGGCGACAGGCACCGGGCCCCCGGGCGGCGAGCAGCAGGCACCGGGCCCCCGGGCGGGCAGCAGGCACCGGGCCCCCGGGCGGGAGCGACAGGCATCGCCCGGGCGGGGCGACAGGCATCGTGCCCCGGGCGGGGGCGACAGGCATCGTCGCCCCCAGGCGGGGGCGACAGGCATCGTGCCCCCAGGCGGGGGTCGACAGGCATCGTGCCCCCAGGCGGGGCGGACAGGCCACGTGCCCCCAGGCGGGGGACAGGCATCGTGCCCCCCCAGGGGTGGCGACAGGCATCGTGCCCCCAGGCGGGGCGGACAGGCATCGTGCCCCCAGGCGGAGCGGCGGGCGCCGGACCCCCAGGCGGGAGCGACAGGTCTCGGGCCCTTCAGGCGGAGCGGCGGGCGCCGGACCCCCAGGTGGAGCGACAGGTCTCGGGCCTCAGGCGGAGCGGGCGGGCGCCGGACCCCCAGGCGGGAGCGACAGGTCTCGGGCCCACAGGCGGAGCGGCGGGCGCCGGACCCCCCAGGTGGAGCGACAGGGTCTCGGGCCCTCAGGCGGACGGCGGGCGCCGGACCCCCAGGAGGAGCGACAGGTCCTCGGGCCCTCAGGCGGAGCGGCTGCGGGCCGGACCCCCAGATGGAGCGACAGGTCTCGGGCCCTCAGGCGGAGCGGCGGGCGCCGGACCCCCAGGTGGAGCGACAGGTCTCGGGCCCTCAGGCGGAGCGAACAGTGGTGGGCCCCAGGCGGGCGGCAGGGCGCCGGATCACCAGGCGGAGCAAGCGTCATTTGGACTCGACAGTGCGGAGCAACAGGTCATCGGGCCCCCAGGCGGAGCAACGGGGCACCCAAGTCACCAGGCACGACAGTGGGCTCCGAGTCAATGGTATGACCGCAGGGCACTGGGTCAGGACATTGTATCGATCTGGCTGGACAGCGGGCATCGGGTCACCAGGCATCAGGTCATTTGGCTCGACAGCGGGCACCGCGTCATCTGGCAAGGCAGTGGGCTCCGAGTCAACTGGTATGACCGCGGGCACTGGGTCAGACATTGGATCGTCTGGCTGGACAGCGGGCACTGGGTCACCAGGCATCAGGTCATTTGGCTCGACAGCGGGCACCGCGTCATCTGGCAAGGCAGTGGGCTCCGAGTCAACAGGCACGACAGTGAGCACCGGGTCATCAGGTACCGGATTGTCTGGCTCGACAGCGGGCATCGGGTCACCAGGTATGATGACAGCGGGCACTGGGTCACCAGGCATCAGGTCATTTGGCTCGACAGCGGGGCACGGATCAGGTACCGGATCATCTGGATCAACAGCGGGCATCGAGTCAACTGGCCTAATAGGATCGTCAGGCTGGATCAGTTATCATGCTGGGTAGAGGCATCAGGCTGAATGCCGGCGTCCGGCTGAGTAGATGAGGCTTCAGGCCGAGTAGAGGCTTCGGGTCCGAGTAGAGGCTCAGGCCGAGAAAAGTAGAGGCTTCAGGCCAGAGTAGAGGCATCAGGCCAGAGTAGAGGCATCAGGCCGAGTAGAGGCATTCAGGCCGAGTTAGAGGCCCTTCAGGCAGAGTAGAGGCATTCAGGGGTCAGTAGAGGATCTCAGGCCGAGTAGAGGCATCAGCGGGGCTAGGAGTAGTAGGGCTTCAGGCCGAGTAGAGGCCTTCAGGCCGAGTAGAGCTTTTCAGGCTGAGGCAGAGGCATCAGGCTGGAGAGGCATTCAGGCCGAGTAGAGGCTTCAGGGCCGAGTAGAGGCTTCAGGCCGAGTAGAGTATCAGGCAGAAGTAGAGGCATCAGGTGCTGAGTAGAGGCTTCAGGTCTGAGTAGAGGATTCAGGCTGAGTAGAGGATTCAGGTGAGTAGAGGCTTCAGGGATGAACCACTGGAAGGCAGGGCTTCACGGTTTGGATTACTGGCAGGATGGTTATTGGTTGGAAAGAATTTTCGCTTTTTTCTGGTTTTAACTACTGGAGCACTGCAAGTAAAACGCAGGTCTGCAATGAATGGAGCAGTGGCGGAACAAAAGAGGAACTGTGAAAATGGAACTGAAAAGGAAGCA